CATCCAGCAGCTAAATGAACAGTATTTCTGTAAATCTCACGTGTGTGAACCTGTTACGCTAGAGCAAAGTCAGAGAAATGAATCCTCTTGGGACCATGAATTACATACCAATCCATCAGATAGTTGCATAATAGATCATTCACTTCAGTTCACCAACAGACTGACGCTGATGCTGCTGATAAAACTAAGAACAGAGCAAGCAAACATTCAAATATCAGATGCTGCCTGCATGTTAAGTAACCCAGTAACACAGTGTCCCAACTCAAAGATAAAAACCTCTTCCCGTGATGACCAAGTGCTCTTCATTTGTAGTTTCCAAGACCCAAACTCTAATCACCGTTTGACTTGAACATTTATCATCAGCTAAAACGATTTTCTCACTGCTCTTGAGTGAGCAGAGTTCACTTAATTATGAAAGATAATTATGTATTAAATCTACATTACTTGCATCGCATGCTGTGGTCCCTTCATCATTTGAACGGACAGTTTTATGGTGACATTTTACCAAGCAATTGGTGACCATAAAGCAAAAACATGGTCATTTATAGTAAATCACATCACTGTATAGGCAGAGGTTTTATTTGGTTTCTAACATGTTAATTTATTCTCTGCATAAAGGAATGCAGTTTCTCCTCACACAGATAAACTTCCAGTGTGCGTTTCCACTTGGCTGAACTGAATCTGCACAGGCTGAGATATGACCTGCTGCTGACAGAAACTGATGCCTGTCATATGTACGTCATCATGCCAGGATGGTAGCTCAGGAATACAGTCTGAAAGTAGCAATTCAGTAGGAATCAGGGCTGAAACTATTGAATATTTCCATTGTTGGTTCATCTGTTGATTAATCGATTAGTTGTTTGGTTTATAAATTGTCTCAAAATGCAAAAAAAAAATTGTCAATCAGTGGTTCCTAAAGCCCAAGATGACATCGTAAAATGTCTTATTTTGTCCACAAGATACTCAGTTTAGTGTCACAGAGAAGGAAAGAAACCAGAACACATTTAAGAATCAGAGGATTTGTACTTTTTTGGGAGGGAATACTCTAATCTATTAGCAAAATAGTTGCAGATTGACTTGATAGTTGACACCTGATTGATTATAGTAATGTGGGAATACTAGAAAACCCCACACTTATATCCAATGCCTGTTCACTCCACTCTAAACCTGTTCAGTGCACCAAGTCAAAGCAGGCCACTCTGTGTTAATGGCACAAATTACTGAGCAGTTAAGAGTAAAGCGTGCCAACAACAGGTGTACCGACAGATGTGTTGTGGCCGATACAAATCATCACAGGCTGCTCACGATTATACCCGCCATAAACATCTCCAGGCTGCAGATTGATGACGGTGAAACCTGTTAGATCTTAATATCCATGTCAATTGTTTCCCAATAACAATAATGGCTTCTTTTCAAAGTGGCAGCAGGCAGCGTCTTGGTAACTCATTCCCCCTTTGGAGCCTTTAAAAAGATCAAAATCATTCTGCAGCCGCTTCACGCACAGCCAGATGCGACAAAACAAAACAAATCAGCAGGGTAGCGAGTTTTAACTCGTTCTGAAAATTTGCTTAAAGCCCTGAAAGCTGAGTATTTCTGTACAACATTAACATCAACAATTTACGTTTTGGTATCCACATAGAAATACCCACAAATATATATTTTTTAAATCTATTTTGGCAGAAAATGTGGCCATTTCTCCAAGTACAAAGCTTCCAGAGAAAATGCATTTTCAGGGCCTTTTCAAATCAGCCTGAAATGAAATGAGTCAACCCATAGCTTCATAAAAAGGTTCGGAAGGTTTATCTTCTAAAAAGTAAATCGTCCCTAAAAACATAATGAAAACACTGACAAACTGGAAATGAAAGTTCTGAAGCTTTATGAAGATGTATTAGGTGTCTGCAGGACACTAATGATGCACTGTTTACCTCTGATGTTCAGATACTGGCATTGTTTAGCTAAAAGCCTAAATCGCACTATTTTGAAGTGAACCTCTGAATGTGTGGAGGGAAACAAAAGCACGTCCGCGGTCCAACGACTAAAACATGAACATTGCGCGACTTTTTTCATCAATAATGGCGTTTTCAAAAACGTCCGACCACGGCTTCAAATGCCAGTTCATGTTGGTACACTCTGGTGGAATATTATCAATGTGTGAAAGCAGCATCTTTGTCATAGTGAAGCACATCCAGGGCCGCCACTTACTGGTGTGCTCATTTGTTCAACTTCCTTATGAAGGGCCACTTAAGGGAGAACAACCACAATATGAAATGGGCTTAGTCAGCAGGCTAGCAAATGATCGCCGCACAAAACAAACAGGTCCCTTAATGATTTCCCATTGAGCCATTTATAAGTTTGTAAATGGGCCGCAGTCGCACATGACCCGCTTCATGTGCCGCTGACGACGAGCGCTAATGTGACAAATGGTCACGGTGTGCCGGTTTTCACCCGTTTGTTTCTTTATTTTTGCCTCGGCACAACGCCCCCGCGCTCTTCACTGTCAAAGATTTTCATTCAGTTGCGTCAATACGCTGTCCTGGCCGTGGGATAACTGTGCTGTCAGTATGTGTGTCACTGCTGCCACTCGTCTCAGGCCTGTCGCAACCCGTCAGCGAGACACTAACATCCCTGATGCATTACGCTGCATGCAGCCTTTTCTTATCACTGTGCTTTTAAACATGGACTCCTTTTATACACTTCTTACCTTAATGTTTTATCTGGCTTTCTTTTATCTTCACTCATTCTTCTGCTTTTTTTATTTGTAGATATTGTAGAAATGGAGCTTTTTAAATTCCCACCTAGTTTAGCAGGGTGGCATCTACAGGACCAATCGATACCATAGAACCCCCCTTAACCTGTAAGACATTCTGGTGATGTGAACAGAATTTAATTAAAACCATCTTCTTAATATTGTGGAGGCCTTCCAGGGAATGCTCAACCAGATTTGGATCTGAGGGGTTTGGAGACCGGACCAAAGTCTTGGGCTCTTTGTCGTGTTCCTCGAACTGTTCCCGAGTGGTTTTTGCAGGGTTGTGGATGCATCGTCCTGCTGGGGGAGGCCACTGGTGTTAGGGAGCGCTTTTGCCGTGGGGATGTTTGTGTTCTATAACAATAGCAGTGCTTCCATCACGTAACATTTTGAAGTGTTGCATTGGAAAGAGTTCACATGAATTCATAGGAACTTCTCAAACTTTGCAAAAACGTTTTGCATGAGGTGTTTTTTGATGCTCCTAATGGGAGATGGAAACACCGTCTTCAGATTGGTTTTGACGTAGTGAACAATTTACTCATCTTTGTCTCAGGACAGCTTGAAACATTAACGATACCAGCTGACACGAGACTCGATTACAACAATTGCTAACAACTCCTGAAGATTTCTCGTCATTTTTTTTCTTGTAGATTGGCCAAATTTTTTTCTCCTGTCATTTAGTGGTTATCAAAGAACTGGTTGTGTTTCTGGCTTCCTCTACTCTGTTTACTACAACCATATGTAACGTAGCCTATACCTCCACCTTCTGATCACACATGACAGTCTGGTTTAGTCTCTCTCCAAAAAAGCCTAATTTGTAGTTTCTTTTTATGAGACTTTTCAAAAACATTTGCTTCATATTCGCTTGACAGTTGAATGGAAACACTGGTAATGTTTAGGTTATGTCAAAATATCCTGCCTTTGACAAGATTGTTTGAGTTTTGCCACCTTTAGTTTACATTTTTTTGTTCATTGTCGCTGCTTTTATGAATGTCATTTCTGGCTTTCAGCACGTTTTCAGTTTTCAACACGGATAACTACTTGCCGACTAGTAGCAGACAAACAAATGTAGCAAAGAGCTGAACATAGTGAAAAATTTAGTAGCTAAAGAACCTGATATTTTCCTCAGGAGTTGGTAATACCTATAAAAGAGAGGGCAGGTAGACAAAAACATGTTTCTCTGTGTCTGAAAGATGTGTAAATTATAGCTATATCAGTGTTTAGAGCTTGTTTCCACTACTTCTAAGTGGACAAAAAAACTGTTTTAAGTATCTCAAAAGGTTAAGGATAAAGAACTATTATATAAAGAAACTATTTTCCAAACTCTCCTAATTCAGTTCACACAACACAACAGACTTAAGCCCAGCATGTTGGTTCATAAACCTGCAGATATCAAATGTTTCTGTTCAGGCCACGAGCTCTGAGCAAAAAAGCAATCTCCGACATTCTGAGAGCCTCTTTTTTTTCTGTGTTATCTCTGCTTTATTGCGCGATATGGCGCTGAGTGACAGGATAGATGGGGGTCAGGGAGTGCAGGTCAAGTAACAAACACTGTGCACCTGGTTCACGCGTTTGTGGATAGAGCCTGAGTCGCCAGGATCCTCTGGAGTTTATTCGTCCTTCCAGTCCTTCAGCTTACAGACACACATCGCCACCGCTAGTCTATTATCTAATTGAAACTGGCATGTTTTATTCCAGCTTTGACACTAATGCCCTGCATTTCTGGCCTCCTCCCTCCTTACATCTCTTATCAGACTGGGTAAAATTGTGGCGTGTGGATTCTTGCTGCCACAGGATACGACCCTCGCTGTGGTTTAAAGCTAATCTCTACAGCCATATATCAGCTCTTACAAATCTCCAACCTCCGCTCTATGATTTCAATCCAGCCCTCCAGCCTGCAGAGGATGATTCCTGCCCACTGGAAAATACCCATTTTCTCATTTATTGCCTCAGGTTGTGCTCTCTCTCTCTGTGTGTCTTTTTCCATCCCACCTACACCGTCCATCCCCTGGTGTTGGCTGAACGCTCTCCCACCACCAACACTGACTGCCCAAATCCAGCTAATTGTCCATATGAATTGGAATTGATGCAATGTTGCCATCACTGTGTCTCCTCTCCCCCCGTCTTCCCCTGTAGGCTGGACCCACATCCCACAGGTTTTACCTCCCAGATTCTCCAGCTGTTGACTCCTCATTCTAAACTCTTCTACCTGCTGGGCTCCTGTTCATCCCTGAGCGTCTGGGTGTGCTGAGCGATGAAGATCCCTCTGTGGTGCCTGGTGGTGCTGCTGGCGTGTCTCTTCAGCCCTGGACGCAGTGACTGTCAGGGGGAATGTGTGGCCTGCGGTCTGCTCCTGCAGCAGCAGCACCTGCAACAAGCCTTCAACACCATGGTGAGTACGTGTGCGTGTCATTGTTAGTCTACATGAGTCACTGTCGATAAGGACGTCCGCTATGTGCCTCGTCAACACTGTGTTGTGTTTGTCTGTGTGGATCCAGCTGCGACACACCTTCAGCGCCCTAATAGAGGTTTGTTAGTTCTTGTCAGTCTTGATAAAGGTAATTTGTGTAGTTTGAAAATTGTGCCTGCATTCTGTTTGCTAGTGTATAATTACTTTAATTATATTTTGGCCCATCACGGTGGTCTAGGAGCTCATTGTGAATACCAATTAACTTTTCCTGTGTGCTTCTAACTGTATAAACAGTTTTCTAGGGAGAGACCAAATAAGGTAAGAATATAAAATGAAGAGAAGAGGCAAACATTTTCACTAGAGTCATGCAAAGTTTTTTTCTGTATCTGACGCCACACTGTGTAAACTTTGGTGCCCCCGAGTGGCAGCATTCAAAATGTACTTTACTTTAATGTTGTTTAGTTAAAAATCTCAATTCTGTTATGGTTAGAAAAGGGTTCAATTTAACAAACTGTGCACAAACATTTTTTTTGCTGCTTAACAGCTGACAAGTTCTCAACCACTGAATACTCGCTTTAAAGGACAGTAATCAGCTAATGTGACCAATACACACACTTTGACCAGTGACCACCTTAAAATGCTGCTTCATTCAAATGACACGAGAAACACAGATGACAAGAGAAAGACAAGCTGGATGCTGGTAGGTCAGTTAGTGCAGGGCAACCACAACTCCACCATTAGTTGTCTTAGAAGCCGGTTTAGACACAATGGTACGACAATATCCTACAAGCAAGATAGACAACCTCATGAACTCTGCACTCGGCTGATGATTGGCACGACACGATGCAAACTGATGATGTAATTTCACCAGTTTTCCAGTCCCATATATGTAATTCTGCTATTAAGGTTACGCACAAAGTGGCACTTTTTTGCCATTGTTTCATTTGGTGAAATATACAACAAGATGTGTTATTTAAAAACAATTAAACATCAGATTAGACGTAATGGTGAACTTTAGCTCTATCGGCATCAGGTGTACCAGACTTTTAAATCTGGAGTGTGTGGCTACATTCAGCGCTGGTGCACCGTAGCTTTAACGGGTTTAGATAAGATTTAACAGATGAGGTTTTTTTTTTTTTTTTTTTTTTACATCTGATTAGATTTTTTTTACGTCTTTTGTGGGGAACAAAGGGATGTTCCTGCAAAAATTATGACATTTTTTGCTACGTCTTTAGAAGTTGTTCGTTTAACTGGTTACAAGAAACCTTAAAGTTTTGTTTAATTGCATGTTATGAGTGCAAAAGGAACATCTGAACTAAACTGCGTGCCAATCAATCCAGTAGATGTCGGGACATTTCACTAAAAACTAAGATTTTAGTCTTGAGGTGGCACTTGGTCCACTTTTAAGAGTGGACCAAAGTGGTGGACAGACCAACAGATGCAAACAGGTTTTTGGGCTGTAACCATACCCAATGACAGCTTGTTGGTTAGGTTTTCCAGAGTAACTTGACTTGAGAAATTATTAATGATAACAGTTTGATCCGTCTTGTAACTTCAGAGCACAGTGTTATCAGGGTGACCCCCTAACTGCTGCAGGGAGTCGAGCAAAAGCAAAACAGTAGATAAAGTAGACGCAGGGCTGCTTTGAAGAGTCAAAATGTTGGGGATACGTGGTTTCAGTCAGACAACACTGGTGTTATTTGTAAGTATGAGCATCTGCTGTTCTTGTGCAACGCTTCGTGACCGACATGAAACGGCAGCCTCTGCACCAGGAGGCCGCTCGCTCTCCGGACTCAAAGCAAAACTTCAGCACAATCTCATTTCCAAGCAGTCCGAGCCACGTCAGCAGGTAAAAATAGTCCGTGGGCGTCCGTGAATAGCTGTAGGATGGCTAATTTAGCTGATAATGATGCAGAGAAAGACAGCTGGGACCTTTTTGGAAGTTGTAATGGAACTATGTAATTGACTGCTGCTCGGTATCATGAGCCCCGGCTTATATCGGTGACTGACACATTTTATCAGCTCCTCATTGTGTGAGCCGCCTTCCCATTGAGCCACAGATGGAATCCACTGAGCAATTCCATTGTTTCCCACCACAGACTGAAAGAGTGTGTGTGTGTGTGAGGCTGCCGGTGTTTGTTATAATGTCAGGATCCACTGATTTATTCCTGCAGACACCTACACACTCGTGCATGCGTCCATACAGGGACGTAGACTTACAGCATCCTAGCTTTTTTCTCAGTGCATTCATTACCTGATGCTATTCTCTAAGTTAAATGGCAGCTTTTATTTACATTTGTGCAAATTATGGATGATGAGGCTATTATTTACACAACTGTAAGGAGTCATTCCGTCTCAAATGATCCAATTTTTAACAATCTCTGATTTGCCTGAAATGCTTATTTAAAAAGATATCTATGAATCTTTTTGTAGTCATTTTGGATCTCATAATGGCCGTTTTATGTCTGTATTGCAGCTGTTTATCCATTTCTGTGTCCATTTGTGTGTTACTTTGTAGTCGTTTCCCTCTATTTGTACCTGCTTTGCCTCTCTGTGGCTGCTTGATTGACGATGCAACAAGAAATACCAAACAGAAGCTCAAACGGTGGCTCCCCCAGGCCGGCATGTTTCATCAGAGCTGCTTGTCAGGCGGTTGAATAGCGTTGGAGTTCCCCTCCTTCTACGCTCTTTCTGATGTCAGAATTGAGGGTCTGTGTCTGATCGTTTTCGTGTCTTGACAGTCGCTGCACACAGTGATTGGTGAGGGAGCCAGAGTTTGAACTTCCACACTGTCAGTGTCTTCTAGTACAAACAAATAACTGCTATTGGCTCCATATTTAAATTATTATCATGTCTTGCTATTTCTATACAAGATACAGCTTTTCCCTCCACTTTCCAGCGTGGCAACATGTGGAAACATTAGGTGTCAACCACATTTTGGAGCCAATTATTGGTATCATTACTTTTTATGGAAACAGTTCCCGATACAATAAATTAACTTACATAAGCTTTCTCTATTTGAAGTCGCTACTCTGATCTCAATGAATGTTCCCTATCCATAAAAAAACAACTTGTCCTTATTCTTTATAGTTTTAAGGGTTTTCCTGGTATATGCATACCAAAGCACTGTTTAGACTAACGACTTGAATTATGCAGTTAGTAATTGTATTGATAACTTTACACTAATGCCCTGAGTAAGGCCATATTTACTCTTTTTTTAACATTAAGGTAAGATTTTTCCTTTTTTTCAGAAACATATTTAATAGACAACAATTTTTCATGCATGACTGCCTTTGAGTGAATGTTTTAGATCCATAGGGCACATAAATTGTCTTTATTGTTTTAGTGGTATTTTATTAGATTTTTTAATCTTAAACAGAGGTGGTTGGTCTCAATTCTGCAAACAAACAAAGAACACGAAGGTTCCTGTGATCTGGGATTGTTATTTATGGCATCTTTCTGCAATTGACAGTAGTGTTTCAACAGTAAACCTCTTATTCTACTGTAGAGTAAGTATTTGTTTGGGTGAATTACACTTGTACTGCTGTAAAAATACTGGAAATCACAGCTGCCAGTATTTTAATGTACTTTTACAGGATGATTTGTTCTTGCAATGACATCACTTGACTCTGCACCAGTGCCTGCTCAGCTGTGATACAAACTCTGCTACATGTGCTGCAGACAGTGCCGAAAGTGTTGTAGAAAAACGGAGCTGCATGACGTGATGACACCATTTCTAAATTAGCCCCAAGATTCTTTTTCTTCGTTATGTTCTGTAAAGAAAAGTGTTCATATCAGTCCATATAGTGATATTTCTGCGATAGACCAATATCAGCTGATACTGGTATATTGGTCAGGCTGTGTTTTCTACCCTATAACACAACATTAACTTCTTTAAACCTTCGTGTTGTGTTTAAGGGCCAACCCTGACCCGCCGCCTCTAAAATAAAGCCCGTGAAGCAAACTCATCTTGGAGAATCCTGACGACCGTTTTATCCCGTCGTCCTCGCCAGTATATAAAAGCCTGACGCCGTGCATGCTCGCTCACACATCCCCTCTCACTCATAAACTCCTTTAGATTGCCCCATTGATCTGACGTGGAGAATCCCCTGGTGTGCTCATTTCATTTACGATGGATAATTAATTTCCGTTGATAGATTCACAGCGGAACTCCCTCTTCTCTCATTCCTTTGATGTGAGCAGGTTTTCTGATAACAATGCAATTTATCTCATTTGAAGTGAGATTTGACGAGTAAATTGGATTTGCTTCGTTCCTCAAACTGAAATTTAACTCGGAGGGCACGGGAGTTTAAGAGAAAGGAGAGATGCGGATGCATAAATCTCACCACTGTGGCAGCTGTAGCCTATTTTCATTTATTGTGTCGAAAGAAATAATAATGCGCTGCACTTTTCCACATTTAAGGATATAGATGAGAAATTCAATCTTATTTTGAGTTAGCAGGTGAAATATCAGCAGCATATTTCGCTAATATGACAAAAACAATGAAAAATGTTGCTGTCACTGCTAAAGTAAAGGCTTTATTAGAATTAACAATGTGCTCCAAATGCTCTTCATAAGTCCTTCCCTCCGTGCTGCAAAAGTTGTGGTCCATCAAAAGTGGCGAGGCATGGAAAGCTAGACTGTCAAGTGTGATGATAATAAGACAGGAAAGTCATTAAAACTGTAGAAGTCAGTGATTCAGCACTGACAAAGTTCATTCTGCATCAAAAGTTCAATCTCAAACCACGATATCATCATTTCAGGAGCACTTCAGGAGCAAAAACATAGTTATCAGAAGTAGAAGAGCCAATCGAAAATAAGTAGTTATTAGAGAAGGACGTCATTTACCGGCTGTCCTTCAACCTAGTTTGTAATTTCTTCCAATTTTGTGCTGTCAGTCACTTTGCAATAGTAGATGTCACATTTGTCAAGCGATGGACATCTCATCGTGGCACATAACTTTCCATATATGCTGAACACAGCAGGAACATGGCCCATTAACTCTCATGACACAGAGGGGATCCGGGTTAAATGACTTCTGCTCAGCTGGTTATACAGCAAAGTAGGACGGAAGTGTGATTGCATGATATGAATGTATGGCATATGGAGGATTTATACATATGAGGTATGTGCTTTATTGCTTCCTTTTTTGTGTAACCTCGTCTATTTTCGCTGGTTGGCAGATCATTGATAGAAAAATGCCTACAGGTGGTGTCATCGGCGGCATTAAAGCTGCACTGGTCAACATTTTTACATGAAAACTTAAAAAGGGCAACGTATAATATAAAAGCTGTCGTACAGTTCCCTCAAATGAACTCAAATGTTTGTCTGTGTCGGCTGGATGTGTAAAACGTTTTGCTAACACATTAGCAATACCCACTTTATAAGGTCATAGGTATTCCAGGTTCTGGATAAAGCTGAACAATTAGTTGATTTCAAAGTAATGCAATTCGTAAATTACAAAGCCTGCAATTCCTGTGAGGTGAATATTGAATTACAAAACTAATGTTGTAGTTCAAGTTTATTTAAAAAAGCTGATTGAAACCTTTATGGGTTGTTATTGCTGCCTATTGATCAATACTATATGATTCAGGCTACGCCGTGTGGTTTGACCGACACAAGCCCAGCTTTATTAGATGCTTTTTCCAAATAATTTAGGAGTTGTTCTAGATGAAATTAAAGAGGTTGCACTCGTGCTGACATCTAGAATAGATTGTTGTCCGCCATAAAGGACTATAGCTGATTTTATTTACATCTATATCATAACGTGCCATTAAACAAAACTTTGAGGTTTCTTGTAACCAGTTAATCTTAACTTCTAGCAAAATATGTCATCATTTTTGCAGGAACATCACTTTATTCCCAACAAGAGACGTAAAAAATCTAATCAGATGTCAAAATAACTGATCACATATCCTGCCAGGCTGCTGTGTTGTGCTAAGCAGTATTCTGGTTTATAATATAAAAAAGCAACTAGTGAGATATCAGAGGGAAGATATATATTCTCCCATCCAGAACAACCTGTATATGCACATTCAGTTCTGACTAGACAGTCGGTTGTGTGTGTTAGAGACGCACTTTCAACAGCTAGAAGACCTCGATGCGACAGGCTGTTCTCTGAAATGTCAAATGCTGCTTTCTGCTCTGCGATCCTCTTTGCTACACTCTTTCTTAGCGGTGCTCTTGTAATGATTTATGGTTCTCTCTAAGGAAAGAAAAATGATTTATTGTAGGAAGGTGAGGTATTTCAAGCCTCATTCACTTTGAATACGAGTCTTTGCCGTCGCCACCACGTCTGTCTGCGTTGCCTTCCGTCTTAGTGTTGCTGCTGCTGGGGATTGAACTCTTGGGATTATTTGTCTTTTATTGTGTTGCCATAATGAGATATTGGACTCACTACTCTCCAATCACTATAGAGCAGTAAGAGCTGGGTAGTAGTGGATTACCTGTAATCAGGATTATGTAATCAGGCTATAATCAGCCCAGATTACTTTTGAAAAAATGTAGAATTAGAATATACTTACTCCTCCCAGGTTTGTTTGTGACTTTGCTAATATTTATCATAAATGATCATTTATGGATAATGGAGCTTTTATTCTTTTTTATTTACGCCATACAAAGATGGCCATTGTTATTAAGTGTTTGTCTTGTGGTACAACAGCGAAAAACACTCAGTGTGGCCTTTGATTAAAAAAAACCCAGAATTTCAGAATCGCACATGTTGTAGAACACACACAGTACATCTGTACTTTGTGCCAGCACTGTGTTTGTACAGTTAATTTGAATTGACCAACTTTAAATGCAACTTTAAAGAAAAAAAAAGAATATTTGTGGAAAGCAAAATCTTGTGGCTGCCTCCATTTTTAAGATATTTTTATTCAGACACATGTTTTTTAAATTGCATTAGATGCCTCAACAAGCTCCAAGAATGCAATGAGACAGATGACTCCATGACAGACAAAAGTATACTTTAATCTGCACCACGTGATGCCAGTCCCAATTAACTAGGTAAAGCAACATATTTACCCTACCTAGTTAATTGGTGGGAGTTTCAAGTTAACCATACGATGTGGGGGAATACTGGGTTTAAATGTGCATTTCATCCTTGACAGAATTGTGTCCGTTTTAGACGTGTTTAATTGTTTTCTGACCCATGAGAAGTCTTGTGCTGAAGAAACGTCTCCTAATATGAAAATGTCTCAGTGCACCTCATGCATTAGTAAAGAACCTCTGAGAAATTTCTTTTATCATTTTGAGTTTGGACCAGCAGGAAAAACTGCTCAGAAAGCTCAGCCCTGAAAATGACTAAGACACAACCAACTATAAGGAGCAAAATTATGATGATAATAATGATGATGATACTAATTATAAGAACTAACATTTTTAAAGTGATCTGAGAGCAGGTAGCTGTTTGACTCAGGTCAGCTCTCACTCAGTTTGTCGACCTGGTTGTCGTTGCTGAAAACTTTAAAACTAATTTTACTGTGAATGTTCTTTTTGCAAGTCTTTAAATGAATTTTAGGCATTCAGCTCCAAGAGAACAATGTAATTACACCGGTGGCTCCGTGACAAGAATATACTTGAAGCTGCATCCCGTGAAGCCAAATTGTTAAAGGTGAAGCTGTTGGGAAAAGGTGAAGCAGCAAGAATACCTGCTAAGGAAACTCAGCCCTAGAAATTAGTTTAAAAAAAATAAAGACACGATCACTGTTTTCTGTGGTGACTGATCTTAAACGTCGCTGTTTCTCGTCCCTCTGCAGGTATGTTTGCTGGAGTGTGAGGGTCACGTCTCCTCCTCGCTCACATGGGAGGTGTGCAAACGTGCCGTGAAGCTGTCGCACCATCCTGCACTTCCGGAGGACGGCGCTCTGTTCAAGAGGACGGGAGAGGAGCTGGAGCTGACCTCTCTGGACCTGAACTCTGACAGTGAACTGCTGCAGTCTGCAGCCGCAGAACGTTTCCAGGACGAGGACCAGACGCCCTTCGAGCAGCGCAGCGTCCAGTATGACTCATCGCTGCTGGAGTCCTCCGAGGAGGGGGAGGGTCCGGACGGAGAGAGGCAGCCGAGGGAGGAGAGGAACGTGGAGCTGGGAGGGGACGAGGACGACAGCTCGGAGGGCATCACCTTATCCAAACGCTTTGGCGGCTTCCAGAGGGGGCGCCACGGATACAGGAAGCTGATTGGCTCGCCCGTGAGGCCCCTACAAAAGCGCTACGGAGGCTTCATAGGCGTCCGGAAATCTGCACGCAAATGGAACAGTCAGAAACGGGTGAACCAGCTGCTGAGGCAGTACCTGGGCATGAGGAGCAGCCGCAGCGGCAGGTTCAACAACAACAACCCCGTGACTCGGGTTTGGAGGCAAAACAAACTGTAACGTGCCCCTGTTGCCCCCCCTCCTTACACGACCGATCCCATCCCAGTTACCTCAACCCCGTCAACCGTTTTCTGTTGTTTTTTTTCCCCAGCAGCTCGCTCCAGTTTGAACTGTGATGTCACCATTGTCATGAGAAGAACAGACTCCTCCGCCATCTCGCTGCACCTCTCTTTGTGTCTCTGAGTAACAAAGAATGTTTTGACCGTGATGTCCTTCTTCTTAAGCATATTTACATGCCATTCTGTGAAATAAAAAGAATTAGAGAAGTGCAATTGAATATATTTTTGTGTGTCGGTATAAATAAAAGGGGCCAAATGAGATTGGAAAACTGGTTTACTGCAAGGTTTTTCTGACCTTTGGGTGTGACATTTAAAATGAATGCACTTTCATGCGTGGATAAGACTTAAAGTCGTGGCTTCAGCAGATTTTTGCACTCTGTGGGTTGTATTTGTGTGACCACTACACTTTTAAAACAGCATTTGCAGATTTGGGATTAAACAGATCACATAAATTAACTATTTGTCTTCACCTGAACTCTACCTGCAAAGCTTCCCGCATGTCAGAGCAGAAACTAGGAGCAGAATTGAATTAGAAGTGGAACGGCACTGTGTAAATATAGTCGGACTGTGGGTTTGCTGAAGCACAAACTGTTAATTACTGGTATAAGAATCCAATTTTCTGCTTAAGAAACTCAATTAATTAAACACAACGGAGGTAAAATTGGTTCTCCGAAGTTTTTAAATTCGACAAAACTCTGCATCATTTCTTTAAAAAAGCCTCGTCCCTATTGCTTCATTAGCACTTGTTTTTCTACTGTGTTCTGATTTTGGCCATTAAGTTGAGTTTTGTTTTTTTTCTTAAATGCAAACCTGAGTTTTTCTTGAGGACCAGCAGATTAGTTGCCTTTTGGGCTCCTCTTAGTAGAACAATACTGTCCTCTAGTGTTTGAAGAGCAAACGTGCTGCCCTCAGAACAGTTTTATTATGTCCTAGGGAGTATTTTATATAATTCTTTGGATTGATGAACATTTGGAAGACTAACAAATTCGACAAATTCCTAAAAGAATACTAAAACAACACTGTCCAGTGTCCTGCATTCTCACAGTGTTAGTAGTTTCTGTATGAAAGCTTATAATTCATCCTTCTCCCCTCTGTTTTTGATGAGTTTTTCCCCATCTGAATTAAAAATCTAAAAATAGAGGGTGTCATATGCTGTATATTCTGACTGTGAAGCCCTGTGAGGCAAATTTGGGATTCGTGATATTAGACTTTATAAATAAAATTGACATCATATTTGGCAGCCGTCTAAGGAACTGTGTGAAAATGACTGAGATGGGGAGGAGGGGTTAAACCCGCTTCGCATCTCATTGAAAATAGTTTTTAAACTCAAAACAAATAAATAAATAGGTGCAATTACTATTAATAACTCAAACAAGAAATGCGTTAAGACTTGTTTCTAAACAATATACTTATATTTAAAGTCAGTGATACAGCATTTAGAGCCATCTGATGTTCTGTAATGTGTTAAACAAAATTAACTCTAACAAGATCAGAACTATCTTTAATTTTTCTATAGCGTAAATAGAATAATAAATGTTGACTATCGCCATTAATGCACAAATCAGAAGCAAATATATTAAATATAAACAACAATACTAATTGTAAGTTGCTCAGTGTTACAAAGACTAAAAGAGATTATTTCTGCAACTGAATAAGTTTTTTGGATGCAGACAGACTGAAAGTTCAGAATATCTTTGTCCCACATTTAGATTCCAGATGTTAAAATTAAAAGCTAAAAACAATATTTAGTACAAATATGCTGCGTGAAATGGTCAAATCATTTCCCTACAGTCCCTAACTAACCAGCAATTATGGAAATGAGGGAGCAATAATTTAAAGTGTTTCTATGGCAGATCTCAGGAGTAAAAAGAAACTAATCCCCAGTCTGTCCTCGAACGTTACTCCGCCCGGGGCAAAGCTTTTCATGTCAGTTTAGTCCAATTGCACTAAAGTGCATGAAGCTGAAAACTGCCGGGGTCACTCGGTGTGCGTTGGAAAAAGGAGGTCTAATGGCATCGGTCCTAGAATCCACCATCTTAATGTACCGTTTAAGAGCAGAGGGATGGAGTGAACTGTGCATGTCAGCTGTGCTCATTATCACACCGAAAAAGATGTTTTCTGCTTGGGTGGGGAAAGAAAAAAAAAAAAAAAGATGCTAATTTTTTTGCCGTTGAGATATTTTCCTCCAACTCGCAGGTCACGTCCATGATTTTTGAATCTTAATAGTGTTGAAGTGTTTACTAGTGTTTGATTAAATGTAATAATTTATGCATATGAGAGTGCGTCTGACTGCAGAGAGGGTGTAAATGTGCACATGCATGTGTGTGTTTCTCTGTCAAACTCAACACAGAAAATGGATCTTGTGAATACGATGTAATTTTCAGACCACATTTCGAACATTATGCCATTGTTTTTGGTCTTCATACAAAAGTGTGTAGAGAGAAAACCACAATAAAATAGTTTGCTATTTCTTCCGTGGACTGTCATGCAGAAGAACAACAGAAAGCGTCTCAAATTCTCAGTGCTTTTTTTTAATGTGTTTGACAATATAATTCCTCTTTTTTTATTGCTATTACAAACTCATTCCCCCTAACGCTAGTCCCATTGCCATGACTCCATAGCTTCACGGATAAAAACCATTAACACTGGTCGTGTGCCAACACATGGGCAGGAAGGAAATCCATTTCATGGAAGGAACTTGGTTGAGTCAAACCAAATGTAGCTTATTCTTGTGAGTTTATATTCCAACAAAGTGCCAAAGAACATGAAAATAAAAAATAAAACAGTCTGCCCGATACGAGGGCCGAACGAGACGATAAAAAAAGGTATAAAATACTCGTACGTAACTCAAAGCACACAATATAATGTACATCATAACCACTGTGTAACCACCGGAAGAGAAGATTGGAATAAAGAAAACAGCCAAGTAGCAGTCTAATACAGTGGAGCTACAGGGGCAGTAATATGACCTTTGGATAAAGTAGGAGAGTACTGGAGGCTTAGCACATCACATGGTCAAAGTCAGTCAACAGTTAGCACCATCGCAGACTTCAGTTTTCAGGATCAAGTTACAAAGATACAGAAAAGTCCATTTGCATTCCTTTAGGAAAGAAACAAAACAGGTTGAAAGTTTAAAAAAAAAACAAAAAAAAAAACACATGTAAAAGAACTTGTTTTTCTCGATGGCTCTCGGGCCCTGATTTATATTCTCTGTTTGATAAAAGTCTCTGTTACCACTCATCCATCCGTCTGTGTCTCTCACGCTCTCTCGCTCTCAGCTGGTTTTAGTCGGGGAAGCGCTGGCAGGCTTTTTTCCAGCGGCAAGCGGTGCACCACTGATCCTTACGCTCCACTCCGTAAACCTTGCGGCACTTCTTGGCCTCCCCGCGACCCTTTCTGCAAAAATGAGCAGATTGAGAGGATGACAAGTGAGGCGAGACGCGCTCAATGTGGTCCGACTTTATGAAAACGCAGAGATGATTTAAGAAATTGCTTGAAAATAAGGCTTGGAAATGTGGATTTTAAGGCATGACCAAGGTGGGTAAGAAAATGAGAACCAAGAGGAGACAGATATTGGACTGGAATCAAAGCAAAAAGCTTCAGTGCAACAATTGATTAGTTGTTTGATATTTAAAATTCCAGAAAATGGTGAAAAATGACGATGTTTGTTTCCCAAAACCCAAGATGACGTCCTCAAATGTGTTGTTTGGTCTACAAACCAAAGATATTCAGTTTGCTGTCATAGAAGAGTAAAGAAACCAGGAAATATTGACATTTAAGAAGCCTCGAAAAAAAAAAAAAGAAAGAAGGTATTTGTTCCCTAAAGCCCAAAACAACATCTTCAAATGTTTTGTCCACAATCCCAAAATATCAGTTTGTTGTCATAGAGGAGGAAAGAAACCAGAAAGTACTGACATATAAGAAGTCTGAATCAGAGAATTTGTACTTTTTTTTTCTTAAAAAACTGATTAATCAACTTAAAATAAGTTGCAAACTAATGTAATGCTTGACAACTACATGTTTACTCATTATAGCTCTAATAGAGAACCTGATTTCACATCCCAGCTAATCGATTATTAAATTAATTATTGGAGTTCTATTATGCGTGGCGCCAAATTAATACAGATTTAGTCAAAAAGCTTAATTTAAAAGATTATTCAAGGAGGGTGCATCAATCCAGAGGCCAAAAAAAATGTCTATCTGTTCAATTATGGTTGATTAATGACTGAAATCTACTGAACTGGAGGTCTCCAGAGTTGTTTGGGACATTCTCTTTAGCCTCAGCTGCATTTACTGCCAAAGCACTTCAGCAGGTTAATGTGCTAAACTAACATGAGCCATAAACGTCAGCACATGTGGCTGCAGATTTGGTTTGGTGCATAGCAGGCCTTCCTCACCTGAAGGAGCAGTGGTTGCGGGAAGGCGACGCGCTCATCGGCTGCAGCCTGTTCTGTTGGAGCCACTGTTCCCCGACGCTGACGGACCGGCAGCGAGGTTTCACCATCTGAGGAGGGGAAAAAAAACAACAAAGATTAAATACAGCAGCAGCCTGGAACAGAAGAAGCAGAATGTGATCAGTGTACGTGACAGAGATAACTTCACTGTTCTGCATTTTCCTGCATGTGGAGTTTCCTCAATGCAAGTTTATGAAATTCATGAGTGTTTTCTGCAACTCCACAGTCCCTTTATTTTCACTGTGTCCTTCATTTATAATAGAATTTTTTATTGCTTTGCGTGTTGATGGTGCTCTTTGTACAATTAAAGTATTTTTGTGTCTATGAAAAGCGCTATACAAATAAATGAATTGATCCGTGGCAGAGATGGAGGCTACACGGTCTGTAGGGGGCAGTATACTCCATCAGAAGTGTCTTGTCTTGGACAGACTGTGTGAGAAAATGTGTTGCTCTCAATATTTTAGATGACATCATGTCTCTGTGACAGCCAGGTTTTCGCTGCATGGTTTCTAGTATAAATCACCCTTAAGTCGACAAATATAAAGACAGACACGATGGAGCAGAAGACCCACCGGAGGGTTTGTGTGTCCAGAGACGGAGGTGGAGGGGGTCCAGCCCTGGCTGCCGGGGCTTCTGGGGGCCACAGATACCTGGACAGGGCTACAGGCCTGCAGGAAGTAGGAAACACGAGACATTACTCATCATATCTGCAAGCCAACAATCTGTTTCACATAAAAATGCATTTCCATAGGTTTGTTTGGATGCATGAGGGCAGCAGGAACATGCAATGAGCCATTATCACAGACATGGAGCCACATTAGTGTTCATGTGGAGTCATATTTCTGACCACCTAGTGAATCTAATAATTGGCTCCGGAGCTGCTAAAAGCTTTGCTGTGTTTGCAAGATAACCTTAGAACCAAAACAGCAAAGACTCATGGTGAAAAACCAACAATGGACTGACAGACGCTAAATGCTCTGCAGAGCACATATGGCACCTCTTATATTACACATACAGCAGTCACTTGATCCAGTGTTAAAGTAATATTCATATTAAAGCTGCTTTATGGATTTCAAACTTGTTTTTTGTTGCCTGATTAACAGAAATGAGGCACTTAACTAAAAGTAACGGATAAGCAGTTGAAATGGGCGGCCAAAAGGAGTGTTTTAATGTTTAAAACAGAGAAGTAACACTGAAAAAGTGAATCAATAGTGGAAATAGCTTCCTTATAGTATTGCTAACAGATAAACTGCAGTACAGATAAATACAGTCGTGACTCGATAATCCGACACTGAATATAAAACCTTCTTTTATGTCGGATAGCAAGGCGGTCGGATTGTCAAGACGGAGGTCGAGATACAAGGAGGGCTTGATGCTGGAAGGGCAATTTGTTGTTAATTATTGTTCATAGTTGTTATAATAACTAGTAGGGCTGGTCCGAACAGCACTTTCTGGTCTCTGGATTTTTAGGCCCAATTAGTGATGAATATCAGAATATTCGGCGCGGTTGGGGGGACCACTTCCACTCCGGGGGTGCGCTACGACTGGGTGGAAGTGGTTGGAACCATCGGCGGCTGCGGCGCCACCGCCATCATCGCCACCATCCGTGTTTGCTTTCGTAAAGCATGCTCGCTGCGTGTGACGTCGTCGTGTCCTATTCTACGCATGCGGGACACTTCTGGGTCGTATGAAGTTCACACACAGATCACATACAAGTTGCATTTAATTAGAAATGTGAACGAACTCCCAAAAAATCGGATTTCACAAAAAAATCCAAATTGAGCGTTGACTGTTCAATAGTTAAGTGTTAAATTGGATCCAATTTAAAATGAGTTCAAATGAAAGACATTTGGACGTGAGGGGTGGTGTTGATGAAGGGGTTCATGAATCCATGTGACAGGCCTGTGGGGGTTCATCAGATGAAAAGTGATGGGAACCACCGACATGTTATTTTGTAAGCCAACTTACACTGGCCTCTAGAAGCATGACTATCAGCACTCACATTCCTACACTTGATACAAGAATTTGTTCTCCTTCTAGCGGCTAAATTGCCGAAACGTAACAAAAACAATCAATCTGAGCCTTTTTATTGCAACGCTGTAACAAACAACTAAAAATCCCACACTTGAAATGTTTTCCTGTGAAGTTGCTCCCACTCCCTCTGCCCTATTTCTGCTCCCTGTGCAGCCCTAAACTGTCTGAACAAAGCATTCCTAACATCCCATCCCACAGTGTGGACACAAGGAGATGCTGAGGACAGAAAATATCTGCAGAAAGAAAACACAGTGATGTGTCCACTGCATTAATCCAAGCAGTGACTGTTTCTCCATAAGTAAAAAAACCCTGAATGTGTGGGTTTAACACTGCGGCCAGGCGTTTGAAGCCGCCATGACACCCAGAAACACACACACTGCATCACCGGCAGCACTGACCCACGATTCAACCCACAGAATTTCTGCATGCCATTTACAAACATTTTTGCACAAACTCTAATCTTAAACTGTAAATTGAATTAATCCAAAGCGGACAATGATGTGGGCACATCGAGTCCGAACTGCTGTACGACGGCGCTGGAAGAATTCTTGCAGCGATTTTCTGCCTTTTGCAGGCTGCTGAGAGTCTAGTCTGCCTGGGAGAGCGAGCAAGCCGACAGCTTACTCTCTCACTGTCACAAAGCATCCATTTACAGGCCCGGCAGTACAGGGTAAATGCAGGTCACCAGTGAAATGTGCTGCTTTGTGATGCATAAACAAAGTTGTAGCTCATTGGCTCTTTGGAGGGGGGGATCTGCTCGGGGGCGCTGGGCGAGGAGGACCTCTGAAACAACACCATGACCAAGTAACATGACACTCGTGCGCAGGAACTCCAGTAAAATGAAGCTAATGTCCGAGCTGTGGCATTTCACAGAAAGGAGATTCTAGATACTTGCATTTCTGTTTTCATGCACAGCCTGTTTCCACGGAAAACAGAAACTCATTGATATTCAGTCCTGCATGAGAAAGAGGGAAAACTTGATGTTTGGAAGGTAAATTCTTGTCCTCACACACTAAAATCTACGCCTAACATTTAATAATTCATGCTAACAAGGGCCGTGCTGTCTCCTTTCATTGCCCTCAAACAATTTCATTCCCCAAAACATCAGCGTCTTGCAGAGAACTCAAATTCTGGGAAGTAAACAAGCATTTATTGAATAACTAAAAAGCTCCACATGTGCCAAAGCTCCACATGATCTGGAAAATTCCCTGAAGTTAGACAAATTCTCAGAGGGATTTTCTTGTCACGTTTGAACAGCGTGCACACAGAAAATCAGAAAACACTAAAAAAATAATAATTAATTCGGACTAATTCAAATATTATAGATGGGTGAGTGCCAGTCCAGCTTTTACGTCTAGTTGAGCTCAACTAGAGCCACCCACACCTAACTACTGATCATCAGGTCAGCCATGGGGCACAGAAAAGTAATGATAAAAACATACTGGTGGTCTGCAGAAGCCAATGTCATATCTAAGTAGTATGGAAAATTTTAAGGAAGATATTACAATATTTGTAAATTTGGTGTAAATAAGCCATATAATGATCAATATTTGAAAATAATCACAACTATTTCTATTGCTAGTTTTCTCAAATTCCCTCAAGACTGCTTAAAATCATATTTTAACATTTTTGGAGACACATTTTTTTAAAGTTCTTGGAGAAGATCGATACCAAACTTGTGTCTGTTAAAAAAATTAAGCAACCAGTTAGCTTAGCTTAGCTTAGCATAACATCACATATAAATGTACTAATGTTATATTTTGCTTGTTTATAGTGCAGAGGACTCCAGTGAATAACACATTGTGGTTTTCTACTTTCTATCTGAGGGACTGTTTCTTAGCTGGGACCAGTGACCCTCTAGGTCAGGGGTCGGCAACCCGCGGCTCCGGAGCCGCATGTGGCCCTTTCATACCTCCGCTGCAGCTCCTTGTGGCTTTAGAAAATAAATAATGAGTATTTTAGTGTTAAATAAATGTATTTTATTTTAGTTCGTTAGTTTTTAAAATGTATTTCTAAATTTGAAGATTTTTTGTTTACTTGTAACATTAAAATAAAACGTGTTTAATTTGTTTGTCGTTCAAAATTTGCGTCACAACTGCCGACGTGCGACACCGGCAGCACGTGCAGTGTTGCCAACTTGATGACTCACAGGCGGTCAGGAGTCTGGGCAGCAGTCTCAGCTGCAGTCAGCAGGACAACCGGATGCCATTTTTACTTTGCCACAGGTGGGTAATTTAAGATCGGCTTTTTATTTCATACATGAAGGAGGACTCAAACAGACATTGAGTATTTTATTTGAAAATAACCTTCATCCCAGCGTCTTTTTTCTTTTTTTGGAGTTCAAAATGTTTTTGTTGCAGAAATAAAATTTTGTTTTCTCTGTAGCAGTTCATTAATTTCATAAATGCAACACACTATAGTTTCTTTTATATATAGTATAACGGTAAAAACAAGACATGTTATCTCTATTTTAGATGTCAAAAGGGTTTTGTGGCTCCCGGTGTTTTCTTTTCCATGGGAAATGGCTCTTTGAGTGTTTAAGGTTGCCGACCCCTGCTCTAGGCTTGTTTTCCTGTCTCCATTTTTAATGCTAAGCTAAGCTACCGTTTAAATTTGAGAATATTTCATCAAGACTGTTTTAAATATTATTTTGAATTTTTTGGAAATGCATCTATTTAGTTCATTGTGAAAAGTTACATACAGATCTCCTGTCTTCCTGTAAAAATCAAGCCACCATCAGCAACTGTTAGCTTAGCTTAGCATAAAGCCTGAAAACAGGGGAAATAGCTAGCTTGGCTCTGCCAGAACTTCACAAATCATCTACACTACCTCTAAATCACACCAATTAATATTTTATCATATACTCTTCTTATTGTGTACAAGAACTCCAGCGAAAGAGCATTCTGTGTTTTCATACTTTTTTATGTAGAGAACTACTATTTCTAGTCTTTATGCTAAGTTAAGCTAGTGTTTACATTTGAGAGGTGAGATCTTCTCATCTTAATCTGTTTCCAAAAATACGTCCTATTTGTACACAAAACTTAAAAAAAAAAACACAAAAAAACACAATATGCAGCGATACACATTTCATGCAGGACTGTCTTTTCAAACACTTTGACATATATTTTAGGATTATGTGATCTCCAGACTGAAGACTAACACCACTATTGTCATCCTTCCACTCTCCATTTCAGGTTTGATTATAGGAGTTTGCTTTTAAATGCTTTTAATGAGTTGGCACCACCTTACACAGCAGAATTCTTGTATCATTATACAAAAATCAGTTCAGAAACTTTCAAGTCATGCTAAAGACCCACCTCTAACTGTTACTGGCATTCAATACAAGTAGAGACCTCATCTTTTATTCATATTACTTTACTGCCTTCTTTTATTTGTCTTTTACTGTGATTTGTTGTGTTGTACGGTCTGATATTTTAACTGCACAGCACCGCTCTTGTCTTTCTGTTTTTACATGAGCCATACAAATGAATGTGACTCCAAATGATTCAGATCAGTCGAGAGGATTTTACTGAGAATCAAACCATATTAGACGTTAATGTTTTGTTTTGCTAGACTGAGAGCAACGCTGCAGCACCCACCTGATAGAGATGCTCTGAGTGGATCTGCCAGAAGCTGCTGGGGGCCGACTGGCTGAGCGGACTGGGCCTGCTCGGTCCTGGCCCGGAGCTGGAGTTGGACCTGGGCCTGTGAGCTGGAGGGATCTGCAGCTCTGAGCCTGGAGGAGAACCGCAGGAGGCCCAGCTGAGATGAGAGGACGGGGCCGGGCCCAGAGCCTGCTGGGCAGGAGCTGGACCGGAGCTGGCATCCACCGTCTCACAGGAGATCTTGGTGTAGTAGAAGTCCTCCTCTCTCTGGGATTGATCCGACCCACTGCTGCGTGTTTGGGCAGAGCGGACACAAACAGGAAAACAGTGAGTTTCCAGCGTGATTGAAAGCAGCACTCACTGCGGCCCAGATAGAAACTCTCACGTCCCCCAAACCAAGTCAGAGCTCTTCCACAACCTGAAATTTTTATTCCCCTCCTGTTTTTTTAATGTTGTTTTGCAGCTGAGAAATGTTCTAAAGGGCTAAACTGTCTGGTTTCCACTCCAGCTCAGACTACAATGGATGAGTGGGCAAACAGTGCACACGCAATCCCAAAAATCTAGACTGTGGTACCTCAGCACATACCTGAGGCTGCCAGTGATAAAATTTACCCATTCGCCTTATTAAATCACGTCACCTTCCTTATTTTTAGTGCACCATTAAAACTGCATGCTGTGGTGGATACGACATGAGAATCTTGCAGGTACTGAGCAGTACTGTTGAGTATTGAAGCTAAATACTTGCATTGGTGTTAGAGTTTTGTTGATTAGTTGATTACTGTAAACACATACTTCCAGATTTAGATAGAAACACTCACCAATGTGTTTTGTTAGTACTCTTACTGCTCGTGATTGGACATTTATTATTTATATATATATTTTTTTCCTTATTAATTAAAAGAAGAGTTTTATGGAAAATGCTTGTCAAAGTAAGGGACTGTATGAAAATGTGTAGTAAAGACGGGAGAACCTCAGAAAATGCCAAAATGACACTATTTATTAAAACTGTAAAAACAGAAATAAAAATACATTTTCCAGCTGAACTGCTCATGTGTAACTTGCTGTTTGGTGGGAAAACTTAACCTGAAAATTGTGGTATTTCGATAAAACCACTTTATCCTACCCGTCATGTTAGAAAACAAACAGTTTGCACCAGATTCTGTAATAAACAAAAAATTGTGCACTCCTAGAAGCCATGTGTGACTCAGCTGCCACAACTGGTCACGTGACAAAAATACTGGTACTTCTTGGGTTTAACTGCAGGCAGTGTTAACACAGAGCAGATAGGAGAAAAGTATGAAAATGAAAAATATCTATAATATATACAGTCACTATTCTTTTCCCAAAATTGGTTACAACTGAGGAAAAATGTTTTATATGCTGATTCCAAGTTTTTTAAAAGCAATAATCATAGAAAATCATATTTAGTTTTTTTTTTTTTAAATGATTTATGGCATTGCAGCTTTGTTATACTGCACATTTTGGAGCTCTCTCTACTTCTAGACATGGTTGTGCTGTTTCCATAAAGGTGCAGGACTTTATCCAGAAATGAGCCCACAGTGATGATGGACATGTGCAGAAACTGCCTGGAGTTCAGCGGGTTAATTAAAACAGAAAACACCCCTCCCCATCCCAATAATTTTCTCGCAGTCCCCAGTTCATCAAAACAAGCACTTTAGCATGTCGGTGCCGGTGTTTCTCATCCCTAATAAGAACAAAACTGATTATACATGCAAATGAAAGCATTCAAGACGTCAGCTCACCCCAGATGCAGCACTCGGATGTGTCTCTTTATTCCCACCGAAGACGTGAGCACTTTGCCACAACTGGGCCACAGACATTTGTACACACCTCTGAACGAGCTCTGGGAGGGAAAAAAAAAACACAACAGAGGTCAAGTGGAGGAGAGAGGAGAAGGGAAAGAAAACAAAAAGAAACACAGAGTCTTTAATATTACACTTCCACCGTACGGTGCAGCAGCGTCACCACTTCAGTCTTTTGATTTACAGCTGTGTATGTACCCGTGGCTTTTTGGCAGTAAGCTCCTCTCCCTGCTCCAGCTCCATGTGCAGGCCTTCGTCGGGGCTGCTGTCCATCTCGGTGACGGACGGCGAGGGGGCGGGGCTCCCGTTGCCGTGGTCCCAGCTCCAGTAGCCGCTGCTGCCGCTGTCGGAGAGCTCGCCGCCGCCGCACTCCATGTCAGCCGAGGACGACGAGGCAGCTGGAGGAGGATACGGCACGGTTATTAATGCAGGGCTCAATTCTGCACAGTCTGTAAAAAAACACAAGTATACCTTATGGTCTAGATGACAAATATTCTTTGTTCCTTTTCAGGGAGGACAGTAGTGACTTTGTGCTGCCCGTCCTACAGAGAACGGCAGGTGTTCCTCGTTGGTGCCAATGTGGTTTCGTGCATCTATTATCTGAGATATTTAATTTCGGCATCAACTCCCTCTTTGCTCTATTCCCTGTTTACTGACATTTTGTTTATCGCTTTGCCAAAAAAAAAAATTAAAAATAGCAGCAAATCGAGTTTTCACTGGGGCAAACGTGTTTACTTTTGTCGAGGTTAGTAATTAGGGAAAGTAAACTCCTATCAAAGGATAGACTTGGGAATACAGCAGTTATCAATGATGGTAAATAAAGAAGTGAATTCAAGTTCTGAGCTTTAGATAGCAGAACAGATCACATGGCTTAAGTGCAGCCAGTTTCTTGTACAGTAAATAATGCAATTCTTGTCTTAAAGTTCAGCTGTGTACGTTTTTTTGACAAGAAAGAAGTTTCTCATTCAGTCTGATGCGACCAGCAGCTCATTATGACTAATTCTTGCTAATGATAATAAACTTTACTCAAGCATTGCTGTGTACTTGATGGACACTGACGGTTTTCTTCTTGTGCTACTGTTATACAAAATTTTAGCATTCATATAGTTTAATAATCCAAATTATAAATATTATATTACAAGTTATTTTTTAGGAACCGACAATATTATTTAAAAAATAAAATAACCCAACTCCCTTAAATATTATGTTTAAGAAGCTATAATATTATATGAATAAATAAAATCACCCAACTAGCTTAAATGCTATGTTTAACAACCTACAATATTACATACAAAAACTAAATAACTAACTAGCTCAAAAGTTATTTTTAAGAAACTACAATATAAAAAAAACTACATAACCCAGCTAGCTTAAATGTTATATTTAACAACCTACAATACTACATACAACACTAAATTAAACCGAACTAGCGGAAAAGCTATTTTTAAGAAACTACAATATAAAAAACTACATAACCCAGCTAGCTTAAATGCAAAGGTAAACAACCTACAACATCATCTTAAAAAAACAAAATAACTTGACTGGCTTAAATGTTATGTTTAGGAACCTACAATATTATATAAAAAAATAAATCACCCAACTAGCTTGAATGCTATAGCTAAGAACCTACAATATTATGTACCAAAACAAAACAACCTGACTAGCTTCAATGCTATTTTTAAGAATCTACAATATTACATAAAAAATAAAATAACCTGACAAGCTTAAATGTTATGCTGAACAACCTACAATATTATCTAAAAAAAATAAATCAAAATAATCCCATTAGCTTAAATGCTAAGGTTTGCAACTTACATTATTACATTCTCTTGAAATTACCCGATTAATTTATAAAATACTAACATACTAAACTGCTTTATTATGAAACAGAAAAGATAACAACCCACCCGTAGAGTTTTGCACAACCTGGCAACCCAAAAATTTACTTTTAATGTTATTTTGAATGATCTCCAAAGCATTATTAACCACCATAAAGGGCTCAGTTATAAGCTCTTTGTAAATGATGCCGTATGTGAGGCTGAGCGGACAGACCTGGTCCTGGATCTGTCTGTGGGGGGCTCTGGACCACTGGATTGCAGGACAGACTGGTCAGAACCATTGCTGCCATGATCTCGTCCATCTCCACGGACTCTGGGCTGCGAAAACTGGGGGCAACATAAAGAAATGTCGTCAGACTCCGGTTAGACAGCATTGCTGCGCTTCTACCTGCACCTCCCCTCACCTGTACGGAGCCTCTCCGGTCGCCGACACGCTGCCCAGGTGCATCGTGGGTCCCACGTTTTGCAGCGGAGCGGCCATGTTGCTCCAGCCGGACGTCCTGCTCTTGTGACTCTCTCCGAAGGCTTTCTCAGCGTGGACGCAGCTCTGAGCGTACACCTTGGGAGAGACGTAATGACATAATGAGCTCCTAGTCTGGAGAAGTTGTCAGCTTAGCGTCTCGCTCTGCTTCACTTCAGCATCAACCTTCCACTCAGTAAATCAGCGGACACACACACTCCGTTCAGGCCTTATTTGGGTTAAGCTGTTTACACGAGTCTTTGATACCCTGCAACCGAGCCTCGCCGCTGCTGCGAATAAAGCAGTTAAGAGAATATTTCCTGTCCATCTGTGGCGTCCTGCCTGCAGACAGCGCAATCTGCCAGAGAAACAGTATGAAAAGCGAGCGGCTGCCAGCCTCTGACCGGGCAGCACGCTGAGTCTGACACAGGGGAAAGAAACAATGATCCCGTTTGTGGGAGTGCTTTGTTTTTCTCGGTAAGGGTTTGAACTTGGGGTGGGGGTGTGTGTGGCCTTTTTGCTTTACTGTAATGTTCTTCTCATGAAAACGCACCAGTACTACCCTGCAAACCTGGATTGGAGACGCTGAAATCAGGAGTAAGCAGTAACTGTTAGAGAATAGATAAAATCTACTAAGAAAGCGATTCAGTCGTCTCAGTGAGCCTGAATGGGAACGTCGCCCCTCACCAGAGTCTGCTGCACGTCGGGCCGGTTGCTGTTGTGCGTGGTTGTCGAGGCCTGTTGTCCCGTCGGGCAGCCTGCCGTCCCGCCTGGCCCGACTCCAGCTCTGTCCTCGGGTCCCATAGCTGCCATGGTGCTGCTGCACACAGTGAAGGGACTCAGCACAGTGTCACACTCCCCTGCAGACAAGACGACATGAGGTTTGAAAATATTTCATTACAGTGTTCCCACAGTACTGCAGGATCCCTAAAACTGCCTGTTAAAGTATTTAGTGCTGCACTTTGGTTCCGTGCCCCTTTAAACTGTCGCTTTATATCACCTAATATTCTTAAAAAATTCCTCCAGAGGTAACGTTTACTGTAGTATCTGCACAGCTTCCTTCTTGAAAACACTCAGCGATGAAGGCCCGTCGTTATTTTCGCCTCAGGAGAATTTGCTCCTAATGAGCCGTGCCATCAAATAATAAATATTGTGCCTTCTCTGGTGAATAAATATGTTGATCTGAACAGACGGCAGCTTTGCAGACAAGTGACTGTTGGCAAACAGTCATTCCATCTTGCATCTCTCTGCCTGACAGTGCAGAGCAGCAGCACCACGGGAGATTTGAAAATTATTGCAGGAATTTGAAGGGAAACAGAGGCTTGAACGGATTTGCATAGACGGAGGCCGCGCCGAAATCTCGCCTAAGTTTTGTTGTCTTCTCTGGTGAAGTACGTGACTGATAACGCGTTGCACAGACATAATCTGACGTTCGGGTACATTCACTGTGGCCTGTCGCCCACAGAGGTAAAATGGGGCCAATGCTGCGTTCACTGCACGTAGGAATAATCCTGATGGGATGTTGGAGTGATTTGTTGTGTTTCTCTGCTGGGTATTATGGAATTTTCAGGCTGCCTTACGCAATGACAGGAATTTTCTACGTTCACAAAACATTAAAGAGAAAAAGAAAACTAACAATAAAATGATCAACAGAAAATGACTCCTCAAAATGTTCATAGATAAATAATCTTTATATTTACAGTGTTTTCAGAACAAAATAAGCAACTACAAGGTCTCTCCAAAATTGTGAGGGATATTTTTCATATCTTTCTTTAAACTAATTGATTGAAAAACTATTACACAGATTAAAAAAAAACAATAATAAGAATAATTGAATGCACTACAGATAGGAAGCGGTTACTCTATGAATTACTCAATAGCTAGAACGTTACGCCTCAAATTCTGACTACAGATTAATCATGTTCAACGTTTATTTTTTTCTATTTTAGGTTATCAGATGATTATTTGCAGGTTTTACACTGTTTACAGGCCCAAATAAGCAACTATCAGGACACAGGAATACTGTGAGGGACATTTTTCATCATTATTTAGAAAAAAAAGAAAGGTAAACAGTTCAAAAATAGTAGCTTAAGTGCTATAAAGTAATGTTCATCACAATAAAGGCATATTTGGACGGATATGGCAGATTAAACATATTAATTATAAATAAATAAAATGCACCACAGCTCAGAGACAGTTCACTGATTTTTCAATTAGCCTATCAACATAAAATTACTTCTCAAATACTTCTAATAGATTAATCAGACCATGGCAACTATAAGGGCTCTGAAATTTGCAGGAGATGTTATTATTATGTTTTTAACTATCCATCCATTTTCTATACACCGCTTAATCCTCATTAGGGTCGTGGGGGGCTGGAGTCTATCCCAGCTGACTCAGGGTGAAGGCAGGGGACACCCTGGACAGGTCACCAGTCTATCACAGGGCTACACTTAGAGACAGACAACCAAGCACACTCACATTCACACCTACGTACAATTTAGAATCACCAGTTAACCTCAACATGTTTTTGGACTTTGTGGGAGGAGAGAGAACATGTAAACTCCACACAGAAAGATTCCGGTGCCCCCACCCCGACCTTCTTGCTGTGAGGCAACAGTGCTACCAACTGCACCACCTTGCAGCCTGTTTTTAACTATTTCATTTTTTAAAATATAACACAGATCAAAAACAGCAGCTTAAGTGAACTTGTTTCATATTTTCAGATTAATGTTGTAATGTTTTGCTCTTAGACTGCGTTAAGATGAAATCAGCAACATTTTCATTATTTAAAAAAAAAAAAAATCAATCACAAAATATTAAACTGATCAAAAATGACCACATTAGGTAGTAAAAATGAATATTAATAATAATAATTTTATCATTTATTTTATTTTCATCTATATTTCTGTTGATGAATATTATTAACAACATACAGCACAGCACTTTGCTGTCCAATAAATCAGTACCTAAACACATCTGTGCTTTAAATCCTATTTATACTGTTTTATATTGAATAACATATTGTTTATTGTACTGCTGTGTCAAAAAAAAATGCTGTGGATAAGAGGACTTTGCAATTATTATTATTAAAGATTTTCATACAGGCGTGGAAGTTGTTTACTCCATGAAACGTGCTCCTAACGCTATTTTCGACTATAAAAGCTCCACTCTCCCATTCCCTTTCCGCGCACCCAAACGCAGCGCAAAGCCCGATTTTCCCCACCTTTCCGCCAATCAGCGCCGAGCTTCAGTAGTAAACAAGCGGCACCGTGTGGGCGGGACGCGGCCGCTGATTGGCTGCGCTCTGGTTTCTCCGGTACACACCCCCTTTCTGACAACGTGTTCGGACACGAGTTTCGCCGGGAGGGACTGAGCTGGACGAGGGAATACAGCTGAAAATAACCTTCCGTTTAATACAAAGTAGCGTAAAAGCGCATCGAAAAAGCCAAATTCCGCATAAGACGCACGGTGCAGAGACGGATATAAGCGTGAAGCCGCAGCGTGTGGCAAACGGCGCTGTTAAAATGCACAACAGCGACGAGAAAGTGTCATAAATAACGTCAGATAAATGCAGTTTAGCTCCTATTTTAGATGCGTAAAAACGCGCATTTTAATACAAGGCGGTAAAATCCTTCAGTCCTCGTATGTGGGCTGCTGCAGTTTGATGCACACGATGCTAGGAGCTGGAAATGAAGCAGTTTTCACAAATAAAATACAAAACCGATGTGTCTTATAGCTGCGGCTAATACGCGTTTTAGGAAACTCTCGGTTTATCATCCCTCGGCTACATCACTGATCTCCACCCGGCAACGCAGATTGAGATCCGGAGAAACACCCCCCTCCCTCCCTCCCTCCTCCAAGCTCACACCGCTCAAAGAAAAACAACCTTTTTTTTCGCGGTGTTTTCTGCAACACAAACGCGTTTCCGGATCGCATAAACGGCGTATTTTTTTCGTACTCACTCCGTCGGCTGGAAAGCAAAACCTCCTTCCCGGTCCGAGCTGCAGCAGCGGGGTCCGTCGCTTGCCTTGGCTTGTCCCGCCGCTCGCCGGCTCCTGATCAGTCTGCCGGAGGAAAAAGGGGGTTGGTCGGTCGGTCGGATACGCGCCTACGTGTGTCTGCTTGGTGGACCAATGCCGGGGGTGACAGCTGGGCAGAGCGCAGAGATATCAGCCCGCAGCGCGCCGTGCACAAAAGGATGATCTAGGTGAGGGGTTACCAGAGCAGCAGCAGCAGCAGCAGCAGCAGCAGCATCCACTCTCTGTCTGTCTGTCTGTCTGCCTGCCTGTCTGCCTGGCTGGATGTCTGTCTGAAGCCCCCACAAACGTGTGTGTTTGTGCATCCGATGAGCCTCTATCACATGAGCATCAGAAATGAATCCTGCTCTCATGAATGCAGCAACAACACATGCAATTTTTTTTGTTGTTGCATAAATATGCACTGATTTTTTATTTATTTTTGGCTCTGCATTTTGAAGATGCTACACAAATAGTAAATAAAATATCATTTCATATCAGCAAAATGGATAAAACGTGCACTCGGTCGTCGCTATCCGCTCTTGCAAGTCTCCACACAACATTTTAATATATGTGGATGTTTCCTTTGGGTCGAACAATCTGCCATTAATCCAATTTAGAGCGAGAACTGTCACTTTAATCAGCGATCAGACTCCTTAAAGCACCATCAACTCACTCACTCAAATGAAAAACAGCTCAAAAATCTACCATAATCAAACCGCTGACACCATTGCATGCAGTGTATCAACCCCCAACATCACATGATAAATTGCCTGCATAGAGATCAAACAGTGTTTTCAGTGTGCATGTGTGTTGCAGAGCCTGTGTGTGTGTGTGTGCGCGTGTGTGTGTGTGTGTGTGTCACCACTGTGCGTGCATGTTTCTGTGTGTTTGAGAGACCGGATTAGTGTCGGCTGTCTGCACCCTCTCCACCAGACATCCAGTCAGCAGGGATTTTAGGGTCTGAGCGCCGACACAGTCAGAGAGAGAGTAACCCGGGCCTATAGTCTCAATCTGACTCCTAAACCAGACAGAATTCCTTCCTTTCTTATTTCACTCATTAATGACACCGGGTAGCTTTTACAGGCTGCCGGCAACCGACTCGACTGGTTAGACCGACGACATAGCGAGAGTTACTGAGCAGACATTTACACCAACTCTGGGGCAGTAGTTTTAACAGGACAATGTGCTATTGTGCAATGAGTATAAGAGCAGCAGTCGGTTGAGATAAGAGGTGGAAGTCGAGCTGAGAAAGTGACTGAAACCCAATTTCAGTTCATTACAAAATGAGGCACTTTGTAATAAATAAAACGCTAAGAGATGATGTTCAGCAAGTATTATGTTTAAAATGTCCACTTTGTTAGATTAGCATGTTGCTAAGCAATGAGAAGCCATCTGTGCCAAAACTGAATACTTCTCCTGCACACATACTTTCATGCATGTGTACATATATGCATGCATATACGCACATGTATATGCATGACAGTATTCATGCATATATATTTACAGTGCCTATGAAAAGTAGTTACCCCCATGACAAATGTTCCCTTTCTTTGCTTTTTAACAATGTAGCATAGTCAATTTAATTTGGCCTTTCAAACAAAAAATTACAAAAAAAAGAGTCGTTCATGTCAAAGTGACAACAGATTTCTATTAAGTAATTTGGAAATCTTGGAAAACTCTGTTCCATACATGAACAATAGGTTGCATCTACGTCAGGGGTGTCAAACTCCGGTCCTCGAGGGCCGCAATCCTGCATGTTTTAGATGTTTTCCTCTTCCAACACACCTGATTCCAATGATCAGCTCATCATCAAGCTCTGCAGAAGCCTGATAACGATCCTGATCATTTGACTCAGGTGTGTTGGAAGAGGGAAGCATCTAAAACATGCAGGATTGCGGCCCTCGAGGACCAGGATTCGACACCCCTGATCTACGTATTCTGTGCATCCACACTACTGCAGTTCATGCACAACACTGCCCTTGCTCTTGTGTGAACACATTTTGGGCTGCTTGCAGATGTGTGCAGAAGGGTCAATGCAGATTCTCGTGGCCTTTGGGAGATTAACTAACGTGGACTCTTGTATACTTGTGATTCAGTTCAGTCGTGGCCCAGACAGCTTCTCATACTTAACACACTGCACAGCTGAGGCTGATGGGAAATGACCAAATTTAGAGCTGGTCATGCTGTTACATTAAAAGTCGGGGAATCACCAGTGTCATTATGCTCAGCCTTAATTGGACATGAATGCGCAAAACAAAACTACAAATGTCAATCTCGTGATGTACGAGAAGGAAATTCCCCCCAACATCATTTGGATGCATCACCTGGGAACCACGAATATGTGACTTTTTGTGCCAGTCTAATAGATGTTGATAGAATTCACTTGATAAATGATGGGGGTCATTAAATGTCTTTAGGGTTCATCCTCTGGGGACCACTTATATCTGTAGTATATATAATAGAAATTCATTGAATAAGTACTGAGAAATTTGCTTAAAATCAAATGTCAAAATCATGGTAGAGGACAAGTCAGGGCATCATCAAAGATATTGAATTCATCCTCAGAGAAATATGAATGCTCCAAAGACATTAGTTATTAGTTTGTTGGGAAAACAGAGTGGGAAGAGTTTTGCAAACACCTTGGAGATCATAGAGGTTCTGATAGGAACTATTGGAGTGTAGGCCGACTTATATACTTACACAAAACAATGTGGGAAACAAGGCATAAGAACTTAATTTTAAATTGTAGGTATTTAAATAACAATCAAAGCTAATGTTTGGAGCAAAAGTCCTTAGTTGTAGCAAATGTAGAGCTCAACACCCAAGACTCAGCAGGTAATCAGGTGAGTGTAGGTGTAGTTTAATCCAGCAGATGTTTACAGAGATGAGCAAACCCTCTGTGATGTCACCCCAACAACTTCTGTTTAATTATTTCTTATTGGCCTGAGATTTTTAATTGTTTAAAATATGGATATCGTTTAGGATATTTATGCAGTTTCAGCTGAATGTTTTCAATCCTTTCAGAGATTTTTTTTTAAACAAATGTTTATAATATTTATACAAATATCATAAAAATGAAAAAGTTATTTTGTTGAGCTTTCATAAGAATTAGGCAGGTATGATAGGTGGCACCACAGAAGCTTAAGTAGTGGTAGATAGTCTCATCCAAGCAGAATGTAGAGTTCTGGAGGTTTAATATAAGAAATAATTTAATAGGCATATATTTTTATTTTCTGATCCTTAGTTTTGGAGACTTATTACAATTTAAACTGGTGAGTTGTACAAAGATTCAGTGTTGTCATGAAGAGGGTTATTATACAGACCAAAGCTGTTTTTTGTACCGTTCTTTACACTTTCTGCTGTAAAGTTGGACATGTTAACATGTGGGTCTGTGGGGATTGACTCACTTTTGGAGTCAGCCTCATGTGGTCATCTGAGGAACTGCAGTTTATGGCATTTTTCTTTAGCCTTCATTTTGTAGCTTCTGGAGTTTGCTGCCCGGTTTCATCAGATTCCACCGAAATATGTGACATCAGTTTTCCCTGCTGAGTCCTGCCCACTTCATACCAGCGCGAATCCAACGAAAACACAAATACAGAAATACCTCGTGTGAAGTAAACCAAAACTGTCTAAACTCGAGCTGGAGAGTGAGTTTTCATCTAGAACCACATTGCTTGTCGAAAGAAGCTGACACAATAGGTTTTAAGGGTTTTTTTTTTTTTAGTGTACTGTGGCAAGAAAAGCAGTATCACTGACTTCATTGTTGTCTCACTTGGGTGTGTTTTATTTAGGCAGTTCAGTGGATAATATGGCAACGGATGGCATGACAACAGGCATTACAAGAATGACGACTCCACCCTGCTTTGAGGTCGTGAGACCTTTAGTTCCCTTTCAGTTCGGCCACTCCTGTCTTATCACCATAACTCCGTTTGTTTATAATAAAGGTAATGGTACAGCACAGACTTTGTTCACACTGACTGGAGCAGACAAAGAGGAACCCAAAAGAACAACTAAAAACAGAAATCCCTTCATTGGAAACTAAAGGTTAGAAAAATCCCTTCTTATCATAATTTATCAATGTCAACACATTCAGCACATAACTAACGTCTCTTGCTTTATCGTCTTCTGTGACTTCTACCCTAAACTCCCTTGTGATGAGCTTGACATTTTGACCAAGAGTTAGACGGGAATACTGATACCAGGTTAATAAATTAAAAGCTACAGTCACCAGCTGGTTGCTTTAGCTTAGCATAAACACTGGAAATGAGTGGAAATGGTTAGCCCATGTCTCTACAAGGGTAAAAAAAAAAAAAAAAACATCTACCAGCACCTCAAATGGTCATCTTAGTTAAATCCAAAGAGTTACGTGTCATTTTTCTGGAGGCGTGCAGTGACTTCTTTGTCAATTATGTAGCAATGATAAGACTCCATGGGGTAACTGCAGGCCATGAAGTAATGAAAGCACTGTAATCTACAAAACATGTAAGGCAAATATCTTGGTGTTGTGGTGAAAAGGAAGCTCTTGATTTTCCAGTCTGTTTACATTCCAACCCTTACCAACAGTCCTGACCTTTGGGTAGTGACTGAAAGAATGAGGTCACAGATACAAGCAGCCGAAATGGCTTCCTGTCGTAGGGTGGCTGGGCTCAGCATGGAGACGGGGTGAGGAGCTTGGACTTCTGGAGGGAGTTTGAAGTCCAAAAGGAGCCAACTGAGGTGTTTGGGTATCTTAATCCTTCCTTTGGAGGTTTTCCAGGCAGATCCAATGGGAAAGAGACCCCAAGGTAGACCCAGAAGTTGCTGGAGGGATTACATATCTCATCTGGCCTGGGAACACCTCAGGATCCGCCCGGAGAAACTAGAAAACTTTGCTATAAATACGGACATCTGGAATAACCGACTGTGACCCAACCTTAGATCAGCGAAAGTAAATAGTCTGTAACCTGCTATTTTTTTGCTGCTTGTCTTGGCTAGGATGATCTTGTAAAAGCCATTTTTAATTTGGTTAAATTAAAAACAAAAATCCCTAATGTTAAGCTAATATGTCCTAATTTATGGGTTCATATGAGAATCTCAGGGTTCATATGAGGGTTGCATCAATCTTCTCATCTAACTCTCAACCACAAAGTATAATTCCCTCGATATAAAAAGTA